GGAGGTGTGAGGGAGTATAGTACAGGTGTTGGGAGGTGTGGGGTAGTACAGGTGTTGGGAGGTGTGAGGGAGTAGTAGTACAGGTGTTGTGAGGTGTGAGGTAGTAGTACAGGTGTTGGGAGGTGTGGGGTAGTAGTACAGGTGTTGGGAGGTGTGGGGTAGTACAGGTGTTGGGAGGTGTGGGGTAGTAGGGTGTTGGAGTAGTGCAGGTGTTGGGAGGTACAGGTGTTGGGAGGTGTGAGGTAGTATAGTACAGGTGTTGGGAGGTGAGTGGTAGTAGTACAGGTGTTGGGAGGTGTGGGGTAGTAGTACAGGTGTTGGGAGGTGTGGGGTAGTAGTACAGGTGTTGGGAGGTGTGGGGGTAGTACAGGTGTTGGGAGGTGTGAGGGAGTATAGTACAGGTGTTGGGAGGTGTGAGGGTATAGCACAGGTGTGAGGTAGTAGTACAGGTGTTGGGAGGTGGGGTAGTACACAGGTGTTGGGAGGTGTACAGGTGTTGGGAGGTGTGGGGTAGTAGTACAGGTGTTGGGAGGTGGAGGGAGTAGTACAGGCATTGGGAGTGTGTGGGGTAGTAGTACAGGTGTTAGAGGCGTGGGGTAGTAGCACAGGTGTTGGGAGGTGTGGGAGGGAGTATAGTACAGGTGTTGGAGGGTGGGGTAGTAGTACAGGTGTTGGGAGGTGGGGTAGTAGTACAGGTGTTGGGAGGTGTGGAGAGGTGTGGGAGGTGTGGGGTAGTAGGTGTTGGGAGGTGTGAGGGAGTACAGGTGTTGGGAGGCGGGGTAGTAGTACAGGTGTTGGGAGGTGTGGGAGGAGTACAGGTGTTGGGAGGTGTGAGGGGGAGTATAGTACAGGTGTGTTGGGAGGTGTGGGGGAGTAGTACAGGTGTTGGGAGGTGTGAGGAGTAGTACAGGTGTTAGGAGGTGTGGGGTAGTAGTACAGGTGTTGGGAGGTGGGGGTAGTACAGGTGTTGGGAGGTGTGAGGGAGTATAGTACAGGTGTTGGGAGGTGTGGGGTAGTAGTACAGGTGTTGGGAGGTGTGAGGGAGTATAGTACAGGTGTTAGGAGGCGTGGGGTAGTAGTACAGGTGTTGGGAGGTGTGAGGGAGTATAGTACAGGTGTTGGGAGATGTGGGGTAGTAGTACAGGTGTTGGGAGGTGTGAGGGAGTATATTACAGGTGTTGGGAGGTGTGGGGTAGTAGTACAGGCATTTGGAGGATTTGGTTGTCATCTTAAAAGACTTAGGACCAGCCAGGCCCCGACAGGTGAGGTGGGCACCAAACTAAAGGGAGCAAAAAAGGAACTTCTGGAATCGTTTTCGGGTAAACTAGGAGGCTGTAACTGACATCCAAAAGGAACTACTGACGAAACAAACTGTACGTATTTCTTTAATAGGACACAGTAGTTGTAATGGAAAGTGAAATAAATACAAAGTAAACAACAATATTGACATAATTGAGACCCCCGAGTGCTGTAGCTCTCTTGAAGAAAACACCTCGTTCTTATTCAGGAGTCACGCAGCATCTAACATCGTCAATAACCTCCTCACATTAACCTCCTCCTGCGGGAGAGGTGAGCGGGGAAGGCTATCGGCCCCTCGCTGTAATGTTTGATAAAAAGAGTTGGGAAAATGTACCCCCATCGAGGCGCTTATGAGAGCCGAGGGAGCTATGAATATGTAGATTAGGGCTGCCACCTCTAACACACTAGTGACCACACCACACCATCCACACACCACACACACCACATCACACCACCATACAATCCACAGTCACACTACACCACACCACCATACACACCACAGTCACACCTCACCACAGTCCCACCACCACAGTCACACCTCACCACAATCCCACCACCACAGTCACACCTCACCACAATCCCACCACCACAGTCACACCTCACCACAATCCCACCACCACAGTCACACCTCACCACAATCCCACCACCACACCCATAACACACCATCACCATTTTCCATTGAACAAACTGTACTGCACATTTCCCCGTTAGGTTAGGTTAGGTTATACACTGGAATGACTTCACCAACTTTAACCTAACCTAACCTAAACGAGGAGAGAGAAAAAGAAGAATGAAAAAGAAGACGAGGAGAGGGAAGGGGAGGGAGGAGGAAAAAGGAAAAAATTAAAACTACAACCGAAGAAGGAAGACCGAGAGGATGAAGAATAAAACCCTAAAGAGTGGGGAGAAGGAAAAAGAAGAAGACGAAAAGAAGAAAGAATGGGAAGGAGGAGGAAATGATAAAGAAGAAGAAGGAAGGGAGGAGGAAGACAGGGGTGGGTAGCCGAAAGTGGACAACGAACACTTGGCATGGCGCCATCTCTCCAGTCTGCCTTCCTCTTTAAGTCCCGTTTTCTTTGGAGGAAAAGCTCGACAGTGATACCAAACGAGAAACACGACCCCTTACCTTTAAAGCCACTTCTAAGTACGGTTGATTATAGACTCGTGCTGTTGGTGATACTTATTTTATTGTATTACATGGTATTTGATAATTACAGGTACAGATAGTTGTTTTACAGGTTCCTTAAAGACTTTTACACTTACAGGTGGAAAGGATCGTTTTCTGTTAGTGTTGGTAATATTTGTTTGCTCATATTTTTCATGTTAATGTCGATAAATGTGTTTTTTTTATTTTGTTTTTGAAGAGATAATGTGTTATTTTATAATGTGTGTGTGTGTGTGTGTGTGTGTGTGTGTGTGTGTGTGTGTGTGTGTGTGTGTGTGTTAGAGAGTGCATACGTTACAATGCATACTCTAGTACACACACACGCTCGCAAACATACTATACACACACACACACACTGACGTCACTACTACTACCTTCAGTACCAACGTCATAAATATTATCATTAATTCTGACGTCACGTTATCAAGTAGCACCTCCAAGTATCTCGAAGTGTCATGTTTACCGTCTCGCTATTGGTCCATTCTCCCGTTAATCATGGTGATGGTAGTACAGGTAGTTGAGTCACTGGTCCTGATAACACACACACACACACACACACACACACGGTAGTCATCTTATTACAACATTTCTATGGGATTTTTGGGCGACAACCTAATTCTCTGAAGCATTATGGAATATTTGACTGAAATAGATGCAGGGTGATGAGTGTGAAAGAGAGAGTGGTGTGTGAGAGTGTTGGGAGAGGGGGGGGGGAGGGGTATGTGTATGTAAATAAAGAGGGAGAAGCCACAACAACAACTACCTGCACTGCCAAGAGGGTAGACGAGAGACCTTTATACTATATGCTGCCACCATCACCACCATCCATGACCCAACAAGTATAAGGTTAACAGGATAGATGTAGTACCAGGATGTTGATGGTTAATGGCAGGAAATTTAATAGACAGACATGATAATCAAGGAAGTTGCTGATTCGACGTGATACAAAACAGGATGTTAATTCGACGTGATATCATTTGGAATATCTTGAAATGCCAATATAATCTGAGAGAAGTGCGTAACATACATACCTGTACATACATACATACATACATACATACATACATACATACATACATACAAGTAAATCACTGTAGGTGCGCGTGATCTAGGTATATGCTGATAACCACAAGGAAAGAAGAAAACACGTAATGGATTCTTCTTTCCTTGTGGTTATCAGCACATACTTACATACTGTACATATGACAGAGTTGTACACAAAATTCAGGCTAACTATGAGTGATAATGAATGACGGTGGTTGAATGTTTTACTTTGATTGGTTACATTAGGAAAACGTTCAAAGCTTAAACCGTCAGGGTAAAAAACGTTCAAAGCTTAAAACGTCAGGGTTAGAAATATTCAAAGCTTAAAACGTCAGGGTTAGAAACGTTCAAGGCTTAAAGCGTCAGGGTTAGAAACGTTCTTAAAACGTCAGGGTCAGAAACGTTCTTAAAACGTCAGGGTAGAAACGTTCAAGGCTTAAAACGTCAGGGTTAGAAGCGTTCAAGGCTTAAAACGTCAGGGTTAGAAGCGTTCAAGGCTTAAAACGTCAGGGTTAGAAACGGTCTTAAAACGTCAGGGTCAGAAACGTTCTTAGAACGTCAGGGTTAGAAACGTTCTTAAAACGTCAGGGTAGAAACGTTCAAGGCTTAAAACGTCAGGGTTAGAAACGTTCTTAAAACGTCAGGGTCAGAAACGTTCTTAAAACGTCAGGGTCAGAAACGTTCTTAAAACGTCAGGGCTAGAAACGTTCAAGGCTTAAAACGTCATCTGTTGTGGACTAGAGATTATATTTATTTGTTTAATTTGATCTCCCTGGTGTGTGTGTGTGTGTGTGTGTGTGTAAACGCTACTCGCACTTATTTTTTGAGTCCTCACTACTACTCAGAATACATTCACTCCTCACAAACGAAAACAAATAATCTGTCAGTCAAGTCAGGAGAGGCGGAGGTCGACCGAACTAAATGCTACTGTCTCGGATAAGGGAGGTATGCAGTATATAACTGACGGTATGTTGGTATGCTAGACTATACATACCTGAGTATATTGCCGTGTTGGTGTCTGTATACATTTGGGTAGTATTGGTGATACATATTCAGCTCCTGCGTGTTGGTTTGGCTTCGTATACAGTATACCTTGGTCTTCCTGAGCTTGTGTATGTGCTCATTGCGTATTGTTGCCGTTTACCTGTAATTTAAGACTATACCTTACGAATTGGTTTGCCCTGTATATAGTTCTTATTGCATCGTGGTGGTATCGGTACTGCTGCAGTGATTACCATGACAGCATTGTATATCCTGGTATGTGTGAGTCAAGACAGTCACTTGCTTCCGGCGTGAAATCCCAGCGTGAAACACAATGAAAGTCGACGAAAGATGACGACACAGGCATGCTATTCACCCATCTTATCGTAACTTATTTCATTATCTATGAATGGTCGAGGAGCTTCTGAGCCACTAAACTCCTCCCAGTTGACGCTTAGCAATCCGGCCAGAAGTATATAACCATCGTGGAAGGGTAGTTTGCCTATAGTTAACGAGCGTTTGGGGGGACCAGTGACGAGTGGCGGCGGACGTTCGTGTAAACTCTTGTTTTTTTTGTTTTTTTGTTTTTTTAGTCACTAACGGTGGTCGTGGTGGACGGTGGTCGAGGCATTGCGGTGGTGTTGTTGTGGTGTGATCCTGTAGGGGGACCTTGATGAAACTTTAACCCCGTCAGGAATTACGGTCAAGAAACTTAACCCGGTGAAACATATTTAAATAACATTGGACAACGGGAAAATAAATTTACGTTGTGATAAACCGCTTAAGATTGTTGTTGTGAACTGACACTAAGGTGGTGGTGGAGGGGGGGCCATCTGGGTGTTGTCTGCCGTGAAAAGAAGGTTCCATGTGTGCTCTTGAGCGTATTCTTCCTCGTGTCGTGTGGCAGTGGTCGTGATGAAGCTGCCTAAGGTTATGAAGACGAGATCGGAGTCCTCCCTCTGGTAAGAAATGATTGTTGTGGTTATAATTCCTGACTGTTGTATAGGGATTAACCTCTGAACTATAACCCTCTAGAAAGAACATTATTTATGATTACTTCTGGTTGTAGTTGTGATTAATCGTGAACATAATTTCAGTTATTGGAGGAAACAATTTTAAATAACTCTGTTTATTGAGACTTAACCAACTAGCTATCGTTACAATTATACCTGTGACATAAGGGGTTCAGTTTCTCATTATAGGGATTCAGTTTCTCATTAAAGGGATTCAGTTTCTCATTAAAGGGATCCAGTTTCTCATTAAAGGGATCCAGTTTCTCATTACAGGGATCCAGTTTCTAATTACAGGGATTCAGTTTCTCATTAATGGGATTCAGTTTCTCATTATAGGGATTCAGTTCCTTATTAAAGGGATTCAGTTTCTCATTAATGGGATTCAGTTTCTCATTATAGGGATTCAGTTCCGCATTAAAGGGATTCAGTTCCTTATTAAAGGGATTCAGTTTCTCATTAATGGGATTCAGTTTCTCATTATAGGGATTCAGTTCCGCATTAAAGGGATTCAGCTCCTTATTCAAGGGATCCAGCTTCTCATTAATGGGATTCAGTTTCTCATTATAGGGATTCAGTTCCGCATTAAAGGGATTCAGTTCCTTATTAAAGGGATCCAGCTTCTCATTAAAGGAAGGTTAACACTTTCCATTTACTAATTACTCGTTAACATAAGACCTTACCAATGGGGAAAGTTCTTAGAGAATTTGAAAGCCATTCGTAGGAAAGTGAACTTGTAGTCATTGGTCTGAGAGGCGCGTCTGGGGAGTTCAGTGGACTGTAGCACGGGTCTTTGGTCTATAATTATTATGAGTGGGGCTTGTTCGTTAATGTGTTTCTAGGTGGTAAAGGTGTTGTCTTAGGTGGTTAAGGTGTTGTCGTAGATGGTTAAGGTGTTTCTTAGGTGATAAAGGTGTTTCTTAGGTGGTTAAGGTGTTGTCTGGGTGGTAAAGGTGATTCTAGGTTCCCACGTTTAAGGTTCTTTTCTTCACTTTTTTTATACACTGCGAACCTATTGACAGAAAAAGGAAACCTCTTCAATTTACTTTACGCAGCAGCAGCAGCAGCAGGAGGAGGAAGAAGGCAGTAGCTAACCTCAGCGATTTTAATGCATCGACAAATTGACAAAAAATCATCAGTGAACTATAGCAGGAACGAAGCACTTAGCGATAAAAAGTTGTTTGAGAGTTATGGCCTCGAAAATATTGTTGGAACTAGCTGGACGTAAATCCTCTCTCGCAGCGCTCCCATAAAGTTAGATTTTATTTTTATTTTATTTTTTTAGTGTAACAAAAGTTCTTAAATAAAATCCCCGCCCTCAAATTGTTAGTTAAGTGACGCGTCTGTTGTTAACTTGGTAATATTAAATTTGATGAGGCCTTTTGTTGTTGTTGTTGTTATTAGTATTATGGTTATGCCGAACTAAAATTAGGGTGGAATAATAATAACTCTAACTAGTCATGTTTTTTTTCTCTTCGTAAAGAAAAACACAGCCGGTGGTAATGCTTGTAGCTGCCATCTTTGTTAACTTGAGGTGTCGTTGAAGTAATGCTTGTAGCGGCCATCTTTGTTTACTTGAGGTGTCGTTGAAGTAATGCTTGTAGCTGCCATCTTTGTTTACTCTGGAGGTGTCGTTGAAGTAATGCTTGTAGCTGCCATCTTTGTTTACTTGAGGTGTCGTTGAAGTAATGCTTGTAGCCGCCATCTTTGTTTACTTGAGTTGTCGTTGAAGTAATGCTTGTAGCTGCCATCTTTGTTTACTGAGGTGTCGTTGAAGTAATGCTTGTAGCTGCCATCTTTGTTTACTTGAGGTGTCGTTGAAGTAATGCTTGTAGCTGCCATCTTTTGTTAACTTGAGTTGTCGTTGAAGTAATGCTTGTAGCCGCCATCTTTGTTTACTTGAGGTCGTTAGCATGCTTTAGCCGCCATCTTTGTTTACTTGGTGTCGTAAGAATGCTTGTAGCTGCCATCTCTGTTTACTTGAGGTGTCGTTGAAGTAATGCTTGTAGCTGCCATCTTTGTTTACTTGAGTTGTCGTTGTAGTAATGCTTGTACGCTATCTTGTTTACTTGAGGTGTCGTTGAAGTAATGTCTGTAGCCGCATCTTGTTTATTTGAGGTGTCGTTGAAGTAATGCTTGAGTCGCCATCTTGTTAACTTGAGTTGTCGTTGAAGCAATGCTTGTAGCCGATCTTGTTAACTTGAGGTGTCGTTGAAGCAATGCTTGTAGCCGCCATCTTTGTTACTTGAGGTGTCGTTGAAGTAATGCTTGTAGCTGCCATCTTTGTTTATTTGAGGTCGTGAAGTAATGCTTGTAGCCGCCATCTTTGTTAACTTGAGTTGTCGTTGAAGTAATGTCTTAGCCATCTTTGTTTACTTGAGGTGTCGTTGAAGTAATGCTTGTAGCTGCCATCTTTGTTTATTTGAGGTGTCGTTGAAGTAATGCTTGTAGCTGCCATCTTTGTTTACTTGAGGTGTCGTTGAAGTAATGCTTGTAGCTGCCATCTTTGTTTACTTGAGATGTCGTTGAATAATGCTTGTAGCTGCCATCTTTGTTTACTTGAGGTGTCGTTGAAGTAATGCTTGTAGCCGCCATCTCTGTTTACTTGAGGTGTCGTTAGTAATGCTTAGCTGCCATCTTGTTTACTTGAGTGTCGTTAGTAATGCTTGTAGTGCCATCTTTGTTTACTGAGGTGTCATTAATGCTTAGCTGCCATCTTGGTTTACTTGAGGTGTCGTTGAAGTAATGCTTGTAGCCGCCATCTCTGTTTACTTGAGGTGTCGTTGAAGTAATGCTTGTAGCTGCCATCCTGTTTACTTGAGGTGTCGTTGAAGTAATGCTTGTAGCTGCCATCTTTGTTTATTTGAGGTGTCGTTAGTAATGCTTGGAGCTGGCATCTTGTTAACTTGGAGTTGTCGTTGAAGTAATGTCTGGCTGCCATCTTTGTTAACTTGAGGTGTCGTTGAAGTAATGCTTGTAGCTGCCATCTTGTTTACTTGAGGTGTCGTTGAAGTAATGCTTGTAGTAGCCATCTTGTTTACTTGAGGTGTCGTTGAAGTAATGCTTGTAGCCATTTTCTGTTTACTTGAGGTGTCGTTGGCTAATGCTTGTAGCTGCCATCTTTGTTTACTTGAGTTGTCGTTGAAGTAATGCTTGTAGCTGCCATCTTTGTTTACTTGAGGTGTCGTTGAAGTAATGCTTGTAGCTGCCATCTTGTTAACTTGAGTCGTTGGTAATGCTTGTAGCTGCCATCTTTGTTAACTTGTGGTGTCGTTGAAGTAATGCTTAGCTGCCATCTTTGTTAACTTGAGGTGTCGTTGAAGCAATGCTTGTAGCCATCTTTGTTTACTTGAGTTGTCGTGAAGTAATGCTTGTAGCTGCCATCTTTGTTTACTTGAGGTTATCTTCTGATTACTTGAGGTGTCGTTGAAGTAATGCTTGTAGCCGCCATCTTTGTTAACTTGAGAGGTCGTTGAAGTAATGCTTGTAGCTGCCATCTTTGTTTACTTGAGGTGTCGTTGAAGTAATGCTTGTAGCCGCTTTCGTTAACTTGAGGTGTCGTTGAAGTAATGCTGTAGTGCCATCTTTGTTAACTGAGGTGTCGTTGAAGTAATGTCTGCCATCTTTGTTTACTTGTGGTGTCCTTGTAGTTCGTGGTCGTCCGAATGTTTCACAGATATTAACAATAACGCTAATTTGTTCACTAGACGATGCAGGTGAATTTATTCTTATGGTAATTAATAAATATCTCGGGAAAGAGACAACGATGCCTTTATTATTATTATTATTATATTATTATTATTATTATTATTGTTATATTATATTATTGGGTAGTCGTCTGTGTGCATAGTTTGGTCATTTATCGCTATTCTCCTCCCCCGCATTTATCCCCCTGTATTTTCTCTCCCACCCTGCCTTACTCTCCCCTGCCTTTACCTCCCACCCTGCCTTTCCTCCCTGCCTTCTCTCCCCTGCCTTTCTCTGCCTTTACTCTATCCACCCCTGCTTATTATTCCCTCCTGCCTAAACTATCCCCCCTGCCTATTACTCTTTCTCCTCCCTGCCTATTACTTCCTCCCTCTGCCTATTACTCCTATCCACCCCTGCTTATTATCTCTCTCCCTCCCCCCCTGCCTATTACTCTCTCCCCCTGCCTATTACTCTCTCCCCTGCCTATTACTCTCCTCCCCCTGCTTTATTCTCCTGCCATTTCCCTCCTCTGCTTATTATTCTCTCCTCCCCCGCCTATCCCCCATCTCTCTCCCCTGCCTTTCTCTCCTCCCCCCCTTTCCCCTGTTTATTCTCTCCTCCCACCCTGCCTATTACTCTCCTCCCCTGTTTTTTGTTTTTTTTTTGTTTTGTTTTTTTGTTTTTTTTTGTTTTATTCTCCTTGCCTATTACTCTTCCACTTCTGCCTATTACTTCTCTCCCAATTTCTGCCAATTCTCCTCCCCTGCCTATTTCTATCCACCTCTGCTTATTATTCTCTCCACCCTGCCTATTACTTTCTCCCTCCCCTGCCTATTTCCTCCCCCCTGCCTATTCTCTATCCACTCGCTTATTCTCCTCCCACCCTGCCTATTACTCTCCTCCCCTGCCTATTACTCTCCCTCCTGCCTATTACTCTATCCACTTGCTTATTATTCTCCCTCCCACCCTGCCTATTACCTCTCCTCTGCCTATTACTCTATCCACTTCTGCTTATTATTTCTGCCTATCCCTCCCTGCTTTACTTTCTCCTCCTGCCTATTACTCTATCCACTTCGTTTATTATTCTCTTCCCCTCCCAATTCTCCTCCCACCTGCCTATTACTCTCCTCCCACCCTGCCTATTACTTCCCTCCCACCCCTGCCTATTACTCTCCTCCCTGCCTATTACTTCTTCACCTCCCACCCTGCCTTTCTCCTGCCTGCTTCCTATCCACCCCTGCTTATTATTCTCTCCACCCTGCCTATTATTTCCTCCCCACCTGTCTATTACTCTCCTCCTGCCTATTACTCATCCACCTCTGCATTATTCTCTCTCCACCCTGCCACACTCCCCTGCCATTATTCCCTTATTATTATTCTCTCCCCTTTCTCTCCCCCTGCCTTTACTCTCTTTTGTTTATCCCCTGCCTATTACTTCTATCCACTTCTGCTTATTATTCTCTCCTCCCTCTGCTATTACTTTCCCTCCCTGCTATTACTCTATCCACCCTCTGCCTATTACTCTCTCCCACCCTGCCTATTACTCTCCTCCCGCCCACACTTCTCCTGCCTATTACTCTCCACCCTGCCTATTACTCTCCTCCCCCTGCTATTCTCTATCCACTCCCCGCTTATTATTCTCTCCTCCCACCCTGCCTATTACTCTCTCTCCCCTCCCCTGCCTACTCATCTGTTTTCTCTCCCTGTATTCTCTCCCTCCCCTGATTACTTCTCTCCCTCCCCCCTGCCTATTACTCTCTCCCTCCCCCTGCCTACTATCTCTGCTTATTATTCTCTCCCTCCCACCTGCCTATTATTCTCTCCCTCCCCCTGCCTATTCTCTATCCACTCCCCCTGCCTATTACTCTCTCCCACCCTGCCTTTATCTCTCTCCTCCCACCTGCCTATTACTTCTCTCCCTCCCCTGCTTATTATTCTCCCTCCCCCCTGCCTATTACTCTCCCTCCCCCCTGCCTATTACTCTCCCTCCCCCTGCCTATTACTCTCTCCCTCCCCTGCCTATTACTCTCTCTCCCCCCTGCCTATTACTTCCCTCCCTCCCCCCTGCCTATTACTCTCCCCTCCCCCTGCCTATTACCTCTCCCCCTGCCTTTACTCTTCCTCCCCCGTTATTCTCTCCCTCCCCTGCCTATTACTCTTCCCTCCCCCTGCCTTACTCTCTCTCCTCCCCCCTGCCTATTACTCTCCTCCCCCTGCCTTCTCTCCCTCCCCTGTCTTCCTCCTGCCTTACTCTTCCTCCCTTTTTTCTTACTCTCTCCTCCTCCCCTGCCTATTACTCTCCCTCCCCTGCCTATTACTTCTCCCCTCCCCCCTGCCTTTCTCTCCTCCCCTGCCTATTACTCTCTCCCTCCCCGCCTATTCTCTCTCCTCCCCCCGCCTATTACTTCCCTCTCCTCCCCCGCCTATTACTCTCTCCCTCCCCCTGCTTTTCTCTCCCTCCCCCCCGCCTATTACTCTCTCCCTCCCCTGCCTATTACTCTTCCCTCCCCCCTGCCTTTACTCTCTCCCTCCCCTGCCTTCTTCTCCCTCCCCTGCCTATTACTCTCTCCCCTCCCCCTGCCTATTACTCTCCCCTCCCCTGTTTCTTCCCCTGCCTATTACTCTCCCTCCCCTGCCTATTACTCTCTCCCTCCTGCCTATTACTCTCCCTCCCCCTGCCTATTACTCTCTCCTCCCCCTGCCTATTACTCTCTCTCCCTCCCCTTCCTATTACTCTCTCCCCCCGTATTACTCTCCCCCCCTGCCTATTACTCTCCCTCCCCCCCACCTATTACTCTCCTCCCTCCCTCTCACTTTCCCCCGTATCTCTCCCTCCTCACTACTCCCCTCTCTTTCCAGATCTTTCCTCCCAGAAAAGTGCCTCCAGTAGAGCATTTCACCTCCTTTATGTAGCGGAGGTATGCCCGGGCCTTTACCGCCATGTAGTGAGGCTGTAGAGAGAGAGAGAGAGAGAGAGAGAGAGAGAGAGAGAGAGAGAGAGAGAGAGAGAGCCGCGCTTGGCAGACAGACGGTGGAGAGAAAGAAAGACCGACAGGCAGGCAGGCAGGCGGACGTGAGAGAGAGTTAGAGAATGAGGAGGACGAAGGTGGTGAAAGAGAAAGATAAGTAAAGAGAGGGAAAGAGACTCATGGTGAGAGTGAGTGAACGAGCCTGGATCCCTTGTTCAGAGGTTTTGTGTGGATCATTATGGAGTTAATAGAGTAAGTGTGTCGGCTGTGAGTGTGTCGATGGTGAGTGTGTCGGCTGTGAGTGTGTCGGTGTAATAGCCCCTGTCTTATAGGCAGAAGTATTTATATACATGGGTTAATTACATTAGACTTGTATACTCTATCGCCCTCTGTAACTTTTCACACACACACACACACACACACACCCAAGATGCTCAGGTCTTGGTAATAGTGGTGACTGATTGGTTGTCGTGTTTGATAGGCGAACTCGTAACAATGGTTTTAAATTTGACAAATTTAGATTTAGGCGCGAAATAGGTAAATATTGGTTTGGAAATAGAGTAGTGGATGAGTGGAACAAGTTACCAAATATCATCATTAACTCGAATACGCTGGATAGCTTCAAACATAGGTTGGATGGATATATGAGCAAGAGGGGTTGGGTGTAAATGGGACTGCCTAGTATGGGCCAATAGGCCCGCTGCAGTTTCCTCCATTCTTATGTTCTGATTAAGTAGCCGGGGCTCTGGCCACCTGATGCGGCAGTAGTTTGATATCCTTGACGAGAGGAAGACGTTATTGAGAGCCATCATGGATGGTTCCGTCTTCCCTCGAGGGAGGACGTCGGATATATCACCGTTCTCCCTCGACGGGTATCACAGGCACTCTTACTCAACACCTCACACCAACAGGACGTATTTTAGAAGAGCTATTTAACATAGCCCCCGTCCTCATTTAACACCCATAGCTACAGTGATTAAGTTACGGTGATATACACTTGGGACTGTATATAATATATTTTCTTAATAAATAGAAGAAAGACAGTTGGGTTTCACTACTAAGACCCTATATACTCTTACATGTTCCAGCCCCATTAACTCATCAAGAATCAACGATTAAAGGGCCAGTTCATCGGCTGTGAGTGTTTCTGCTGTGAGTGTCTGTTGTGCGAGTCAGTTCTTTGTCTTAGGGCAAGCTGGAGGTTGTCTGTGCCGATATATAATATTTCCATGGGCAGTATAATGTAGATTCTAGTCTGTGGGTTTCATTGGTTCATCTTTGAGAAGTTTCTGTGAAGTCTGTTTCTGGTGGTATGGTCAGGTTAGCTAAGTATGGTATCGACGGTTAGGCTAGAACTGGATAGGGTTGGATAAGGTTAGGTTAGAATAGGATAGGGTTAGGTTAGGTTCAAGGCACGGAGAACACGGTCTATACATACCTCATCATAAGAGTAAATTCAAAGTGAAAAAAAATAATCCCTCTGGTCAACGTAACTTCCACCACGTCACTATCCCCATTTAAAGCCCCTCTCTCAAAGACACAAAACAACCCTCCATGAGAAAATTATTCATCAGTTAAGTCAGAAAAATCAGATATCGATGCAGCTGAAAACTAGCAACACTTAATACAGTCATTTGCAACACGTAGAATCATTTGCATATGAGAGTTGGGTGTTGCGAGGTTGTCCTAATATGTGAGGTCGCCTTACAGGTGTTCGTAGCCAGGTGTGTGTTATAGTTAATGATGTAATTAACCTTTTCGGTGACTGAAGTGTGTGGGGAGTCATTGTCATAATTCATTTTTCACTATTAGTACTATTGTTATTGTCACTGTCATTATTGTCATTGTCATTAGGATTATGGTTATCATTGTCATTGTCATTATAATAATTATCATTAGGGTTTTGGTCATCATTGTCATTATCATTATGGACAGTGGTGTTATTATTTTGTCATTGTTGTCAGTGGTTTCATCATCAATTTCATCATCAGTGTCATCATTATTATTTTTCTTATCATTACCATCTTTATTAACTGTTATTAATTTCCCTCCTTGTGTCCTCGCAGGTCTCGGAGCGCGGTGATGGAGGACGGCGTGAGTGTGAGCTCGGCCTCGGGATCGGCCTCGGGAGCTGGGTCATCGTCGGCCTCCAGCGTCGGGGAGGAGGTGGTACTGAGGATTAACGTGCCGGAGCTCAAGGTGGAGAAATGCCTCCAGTTCCACAAGGACGACCTCGTGTGGGACGTGAAACAGCAGGCCCTCGCAGCCCTGCCCAAGGTAAGACACACACACACACACACACATACACATACACACACCATTACCTAAAAGGGGATAATTTTTAGGACACTTTCAGAGCTATACCGAGTTTCGAGGCGATTCAGAACATTTTTTTTTGGGGGGGGGGGACAATTGAAAATGTTTCGGGGTATTTCTAGGTAATTTCCATCGTTTTTTCATGGCATGTCTGATTCTTTTAAGGTGTTTCACAGCATGTTTAGGCATTTCAGAGCATTTTTAGACATTTCGGGACATTTTTAGGCATTTCAGAGCATTTTTAGGTATTTCGGGACATATTTCGGTATTAAATGGCATTTTAAGGTGTTCAGGGGCATTTTGAGGGTGGTATTTCGGGATAATTTCAAGTTAATTTAGAGGGTTCAGATCACCAGGAAAGAGTCAGATCTCCAGGACGATTAAGGGCTCAGGTCACTAGGATGATCAAGGTTCAAATCACTCGGATGATCTAGGTTTAGGTCACTAGGAAGATTAACGGTTTCAGGTCACTAGGGTGATTAAGGATTCAGGTCACCAGGATGATTAAAAGAGTTTAGATCACTCGTATGATTTAGATTCGGGTCTCCAGGATGATTAAGGTATCAGGTCACCTTATTAGCGTCCATTATCATACCTTCAGGGGCCCCCTTTGACGTTTTCTAATGGACGTGATACATAGAAAACGAAATTACCTTCAGATTATACATAAAAAATAGAACTTAGTTTTTATCTTCACTTTCAGCTGCTTGTCACCGTGCCAGTGTTTACAGCAACATCACAAATCAACATTATTCTAAACATTTCAACATTGTACCCAAAAATGTGAGAGAGATATTGTACCTAATTCTTCCACTAGTGTTTAACATTATTTCTCTATTCCTCAGTACATGTTTATCATTCATTCTATCTGTCCCTTGTGTTTTATTATCATTCTTATCTATTGTGCAGGTTTTTATCACGTGTTGTTTGTATTATCAGTGTTTACTCTTATTACATGTTTGTTAATGTTTTGTTTTATTATCCGTGTCTTTTTTTATTTTTTATCATATATATCTTTGTTTATCATGTGTTGTGTATATATCTTTGTTTATCAGTGTTATCCCTTATTACGCGTTTATCATCAGTGTCCTAAGTACACGTTTATTATATATATATATATATTGTTCCTGTGTTATCGGTGTTTCTCCTTATTATTGTGTTTATCGTCGGTTGTCTTTCATGTATTCCTCCTCTTCTTCCTCAATTCCTTCCTTTTATACTCCTACTCTTCTCTCAAACCATATGTACATAGATGGTATTGTTAGTGTTACGTTCACAGTGTGTATGGGGGGGGTGTAGCTAGCGGTGTGTTGACATTCTCTCTCTCAGTCCGTCAGCCAATCTCAACCCCCCCTAGTGATTACTGAGCCGGCCAGATTCTCAAAAGATAAGGAAGATAATTTTAATCGCCATTTATCTGATCATTGAAGAACTTATCAAAATTTGTTGACCTTTTTTGGGGGGGGTGTTGGGATGATGTGAACACTTGATGAGTCTTTTGAGAATCTTCGTGTAGGACGATAGAAATGTCGCCTCGGCTTTTTCTAGTGATCAATGTTGCAATCAGTCATGTTGGGGAGGTTGGCTGTCAGACCCACAGTTGTCTGGTCTGTCTGTGTGTGTGTGACCTTCCTCTGCTACTGATCAATCACCGCCGCTGTCTCCTCCATCATTCTGGTATAATTATTTTTTATCGATTTTTGTTTTCATTTTCATCATTCACAATACTTAAGTCATCTCTTGTTCCCCGCCCGTGTCTCGTGTTGATGGATCGCACTGTACGAGTTTGTCATTAAGTCAACAGCCGAGAGAAATTGTAATTTAGGATATTAATCCTTTAGAATACAGGAGTTTCTTTTCGCTGAATAAAATTGTCTGACGCCAGCCGGGGTAAAGTATTAAGTGCGCCGCTGCCCTCGAAAGGTTGAATTTATGCATTATGACCGGGATTCATAGCGCGCGCGTACACACACACAAAGCAAGATTAACATCGGTGCTTTACTTTCGAGATTGCTAACACGCACACGCACACACACACACACACACACACACACACACACACACACACACACCATCCTTCCAGCCATGCATAGCGACCATTACATAACAACTGCAGGATCCTATCTAATGTTTTATTTTTCCGGTTTTTAACACAAGTACATCAAAACAGCCATGCATAGCGAGCATTTTCAAATGATAAATGCAGGATCCAGACTTTTGTTCCACTTTCGGGGTTCGAAACACAAACACCGAGTCCCAGCCATTACCTCCGACCGCAGATGACCCGTACCCCAGCTCCACCCTTGTGTTTCATTGTCCTCATAACTGTTGTTAGTTGAGTCACTCACGTTAATCACCCAGGTGCAGTAATCCTTCATACCCTAATTATACTCTAGTCTTCAGTAATGCCAGTTAAGAATCTCTGCCGCCACTGATCGCTCGCAGTCGAAAAGTGGGTAAGAATGGCACCCACTCCCGGCAAACATTTTCAGGCGGTGCCATAAATTCTGCCGTGATTTAGTATTCATAGTCTCTCTCTCTCTCTCTCTCTCTCTCTCTCTTTATACTCGGCCAAGACCACCACCGCTAACCTGGTCAAAATTTATACGGTTAAAGCCGGGTTGGTGTCTGACCTTTTTTTATATAACTTTCCCTTCCATCTTTCTAGACTTGACTCCTCCCTCCCAATTTTCTCCTTCCGTCTCCTTTTCCCCCCCTTCCTCCTTTCTTTCTCCCATCTCCCTCCCCCAGCTCCTTCATTCCTTCTCTCCATCTCCTTTCCTCCCTCCTTCTCTTCTCCCCCCCTCCTCCTCTTCTCCCCCCCCTCTCTCTCCATCTTCCTCCCCAACTTCTTCATTCCTCTTTCTATCTTCTCTCCTTCCCTCCTTCCTTCATCTCCTTCCCTCTTACCTTCTCTCCATCGCCTCCTCCTTCTCCCCCCACCACCACTTCCTCTCCACCACCACTATCTCCCTCCACCACCCCCCACCACCACCACCTTCCTCCACCACCACCACCACCTACCACCACCACCTACCACCACCTTCCTCCACCACCACCACCTACCACCACCACTATCTCTCCACCACCCCCACCACCACCACCTCCACCACCCCCACCTCCTCCACCACCACCACCTCCCTCCACCACCACCACCACCTTCACAGACTTTTAAAAGACATTTCTTCCAGATTTCGACAATTGTGTTTTGGGAAACTTTTTCACTACGTTTCTCAGACTTGTTTATAAGACTTGAGCATAAATTTCAGCCTTTCCTCCCTACTGGGTTTTAAAGACTTTTTGATATTTATTTATTCTTAAACATCCTGGACTCCCCTCTTCCCCCACCCTCCCTCTCCAACGCCCCTCCACCCTACCCACCCATTCTCCCGCCCTCTCCACCCACCCATTCTCCAACCACCCATTCTCCACCACCCACTCTCCACCCGCCCCTCTCCACCTCCCCTCTCCTCCCCTTCCATCAAGACGTTATTTCAGATTTTGCTTTCTTGAATTTCTTGGAACTTTCTCGCGAACTTCTTCAGATTTCCCCTTCTTCCTCTACAGTTTTCCAGATTTTCCCGCCAGATTTTTTTTTAACTCTTGACTCTCGAGACTTATCCTGTAAACTCTTTCTACTATTTTCCTATCGAGTATTTTTTTTATTCAGATTTTCTAAAAGTGGATGAGACTTTCTAAACTTTTCCTTCTGGAGATTCTGAGACACCAACCAAGCCTTTAGACTTTCTCACCCACCACCAAACTTTCCCCACCACCAAACTTTCCCCCACTACCAAACTTTTTCCACACCAAACTTCCCCACCACCAAACTCCCCCACCACCCCAAACTCCCCCACCACCAAACTCCCCCACCAAACTTTCCCCCACCCCCACCACCAAACTTTCCCCACCACCAAACCATCCCCACCACCAAGCATTCCCCAACCACCAACCATTTTCCCCCACCACCACTTTCCCCACCACCAAACATTCCCCACCACCAACATTCCCCACCACCAACATTCCCCACCACCAACATTCCCCACCACCAAACATTCCCCCACCACCAAGCATTCCCCACCACCAAACATTCCCCCACCACCAAGCATTCCCCACCACCAAACATTCCCCACCAAACATTCCCCACCACCCCACCAAATTTTCCAAGACTTTTCTCCACGATGGTTTCTAGATTGGGTGGGGTGGTGTTCAATTTAAAGATGTATTAAACTTTTATATGAAAGTCTTCAGACGTTGTGTTCAGTACAGACTTTTCGAGACTTTGAGACTTTTTTTTCCCATTTTGTTTGACTATTTTTTATTTAATTTCTTTTACATTGGGTCACTTCACGTGTTGGAATTCAAAATATTTCACCTACAGTATATCTCCATCCATCTATGCGTCTCTTCACCTGTATCTCCCTCCATCTATGCGTCTCTTCACCTGTATCTCCCTCCATCTATGCGTCTCTTCACCTGTATCTCCCTCCATCTATGCGTCTCTTCACCTGTATCTCCCTCCATCTTTGTCTCTTCACCTGTATCTCCCTCCATCTATGCGTCTCTTCACCTGTATTTCCTCCATGTATGCGTCTCATCTGTATCTCCTTCCTCTATGCGTCTCATCACCTGTATCTCCCTCCATCTATGCGCGTCTCTTCACCTGTATCTCTCCATCTATGCGTCTCTTCACCTGTATTTCTCCATCTATGCGTCTCTTCCCTGTATCTCCATCCATCTATGCGTCTCATCTGTATCTCCATCCATCTATGCGTCTCTTCCCTGTATCTCCCTCCATCTATGCGTCTCCCCTGTATCTCCTCTATCTATGCGTCTCCCCACCTATATTTCCTCCATCTATGCGTCTCATCATCTGTGTCTCTTCCCCTATGCGTCCTTCACCTGTATGCCATCTATGTCTCTTCACCTGTATCTCCCTCCATCTATGCGTCTCTTCACCTGTATCTCCCTCCATCTATGCGTCTCTTCACCTGTATCTCCCTCCATCTATGCGTCTCTTCACCTGTATCTCCCTCCATCTATCTCACCTGTATCTCCCTATCTATGCGTCTCTTCACCTGTATCTCCCGCCATCTATGCGTCTCTTCACCTGTATCTCCCGCCATCTATGCGTCTCTTCACCTGTATCTCCCGCCATCTATGCGTCTCTTCACCTGTATCTCCCTCCATCTATGCGTCTCCCCCTGTATCTCCCTCTATCTATGCGTCTCACCACCTATATTTCCCTCCATCTATGCGTCTCATCACCTGTATCTCCCTCCATCTACGCGTCTTCATGCGTCTCTTCACCTGCATCTCCCTCCATCTATGCGTCTCATCACCTATGGACTGAATACTGTACTCGTGTTCAAACGTGATACATCTCTATAAACAATAAGTCACTAAGTCACCTCAGTAACCCTAATTTAAAACTCGCTATTTCATCTCGCAGGAAAATTAATGTAATTGATTAAAGTTTTCTATGTTTATTCCCACAAACCCGCGTAGAAATGTGTCCGTTTTGACTTCCTATTTACATTGTAGGACACTCGATTGATTAACACGTTCTATAATCATAATCATTTATCATATATTATGTTGCGTCATGTCATTTATCATCTTTCGCCTCTTATTTGCTGTCAGTGTATTTATTTATCTTCATTATTTTTCATTTGTGTATACCTAAAGTCTTTTATTTACCATCATTGTATTCCCTTGTAACTTAACACTCTCGCCCTCTGTTGTAAAATTTCCTCACTATATTCTGTCTGCTGTGTATGTCAGTACTGGGTATGATATATTTATTAGTCTTCTGTAAATATTGACTAATGTTGTGTGTTTCCCCTGGGTCTTTTTTATATAAACCATCTGTGTGTGTATATCTAAACTATGTTCCCATACATTGGAGTCTGATTTTACGCGGGAATTCTCCTTTTTGTTTATGGACGAGCTGCTGCTGCCGCTAACTTTGGGTAAACTTGTCGTACTGGAGTGTTGCCATCAAGCTGTCCACAAACATTAAGGTGTCCTGTGATTTTCTCTAGTACTGCTGACGTTTTGTTTTGTTTTTTCTTGTTACATTCTTAGTAAAACTCGGCAGTCTAGATGAGTTACGACTCCAACCTTCCTCCTCTTAATCCTTCTCTGGTTTACGGTGACGGAGACTTTCCAAAACCAGCACGTCGTCGTGTCCAGGCAGCGGAGACGTCCAAACTTTTGGCAGTTATCGTAAACATTAAGCCGCCGATGTTGCCCCACGTGTTGGCGAGGCAGGGACCAGAGTCTCGGATGTTCGTACGTTGTTTTTCTCCTTCACTTGAGGATGAGGGAACACACTCACCAGATGTATTTAAACGAGAGGCGGTCAAAACGTCTTCTTAATTACGCTTCAACTCTACCATAATTACACGCGCCCTCGCATTTTCAATCACGGGACAAGTAACGTACGAATCTTCGAGAGTTTGAGTCCAGGGTTATATCTTTGGCACTAGCTCGTATATGAGCCCAATAAAAAGTCTCTCTCTATATATATATTTTTTGCACGATATGCATCAGGCGAGCATTGAGTAGTGGCTAGATCAGTTTTTATTACACATTCGACGAGGCCATTGGCAGTGTTGTGTATCATACAGCGGGACATGGTGTGTGTGGTACTGGAGGTCGCATGGCAGCTGCACTACATGTATTCTTTTGCACGAGTTTTGGCTGTGTTAGTCACCTTGTTGCCAGCTTTTCATGCCTTGACTGACACAATTTTTCCATCATTTTGCGTGAGGGATTTAATTCTCGAATGGCTAACGCAGCCAGTGACCATCTTCGGTCACCCAGGAAGAGTGCATGAAGGTGACGCTGCAGGGCGACTATGAAGCTCCACGACCATCTGTGTGGTTGTACGAACATTAGCACACACAATGGCCATTTTTTTTAATAAATGTATCGGTAAGACATTTGCTTCTAGAGGAGTGTGGAACATGAGAGGCTGTGGTAATCCTGATATATAGAGCAGCAAAACTGTGACTTGCCTGAGCAAAACTTTGTGACCCGGTGCTTGACCTGGACACGGGTGTCGTGTGACGTAGCGGTTGGTAAGCAAACACACGAGCACTTGTCCGTAGAAGCTGGCAACATGTGCTATTGTGCAAGTCCACCACTACCACGACCGCCAGACCACGTTTAGTTTTTGAGATCATACGACGATATCACAACCTAACCTAACCAGAACTACTGTAGAGTTAGCTTAGGTTTTGATTGGCTCGTGTGTGGTGTAGCGGTGGTGGTCGTGGTACCTAAGGACATAGTCACGTGTTGCGTAGAACTGACCCTTGATTGGCTTTGGCTTGCGTTACACACCATGTTGGATTACGACTGTTCTTTTTTTCTTAAATTATTATTTTTTTTTAATTTTAAATTTTGCATTGTGGTTGTTTTATATACAGAGTTAGAACTTGAATTGTAGATGTTTTGTTTATTTAATTACTTTTGTTGTATGATTTTTATTAACGCAGTAGTTGATGAGATCCTCGAAACGAAGTTTGTTGACAGTGTTTGGAAGGTTTTGTTCCCATAAAGAGAGAATTGAACCTTGTTGAACTGTATTTACCACTTTTCGTTTAATCGACCATCTCATCACACGCTCCCGGCTGTTGCTCTAAAGGGAACGCTCTCAGGTGTGCCCTTTACAGTTCAGCTTGGTGTGGTTTATATTTGTTTTTTCTTTGTTTTATTTTGTTCTTTTTAACGCGCACATGCAAGTGTGTCTTGTTACCAACGGCTTCCCGTTTTCCCTGGTGGTCTGGCTAACATTTTCCTTTTTTCTCCCGTTTTCTGTCCCCTCCAGGTGGCGCTGTGGTACCGGGTATGTAGTCCCGTCTAATGTGCATGTCCCGGCTGTGCTTGTTACTGTGTGCAGGCCCCTTGTGTGTCCCGGAGGTGCATGGTTAAATGGGCCCCAGCAGTCCTCTTGGGCCCAACTTAAACCATTAGGAATAGGGGCCCACGTCCCAATGGACCCCATTCGTAATGGTCAGGTTAGGTTAGCTTGGTTGGGCCCTTTTAGAATTATAATCTGTCAGGACTTGGGCCTATCATTAAGGTGTATTAGGACTGGGGCCCAATTAACCTGTAACCTTGCCGAGGTAACTTAGTCCAGGACAACATGCACGAGCTTCTAGGCGGAGAACTTGACCCGTTCTCGCTAGACCAGCTGTGTACTGTACATATATTTATACATACTGTCCCTCTCTAAATGTGTAATATATTCTAGGCCATATGTGCTTATGGTGGAGCCCCTAACCTAATCTACTTTAAACTCCTGCAACATTTTGGTGTTGGCTGGTGACTGTGTGTCTGTCTGTGTCTGTGCCACACCACCGCATCAACCTTTCTTGCATCATCGTATGTGCCTCTTAGTTCCTTCATGTCCGTGGGTCTAAATTCTGAAGCAGCACAAAAATCAGTTTAAAAAAATATTCTCGGGAATGACAGTGACATTCCCGTGTGTGTTTTACCGGTCCCCCAAAACCTGTCTCGGAATTTAGATCTTTGTTCATTTATAAACTTATAACTGATCAATGCTTAATACCTTACTTAAGAAACTGTCTTGCTATTCGATACTTTAATCCTCTGTAAGAATTATCCTTTACCTATATCAGAAAAGAAAAGAAAAATGTATCTGGCGTATTCTCAAACTTGCATGGCGAGAAACTTGTGGTCGTTTCTCCTAAAAACTCTCAATCCTTTTTGCATAAGCGTTAAGGAAAAACCCAGTCTTCTTGAAAGCAACTTGAGGCGTGGTCCTCTGAGCCCTTGTGTTGGTGGTGGTGCAGCATCGATGGCCACCACGACGCCCTGGGTGTTGCACGTGAGCCTGAAGGTGTCTCAGACGCAGGCTGTACTGTCGACCATCCATGGCCCTACCTGTATTGCTCTCTGCTTGGTGGAGCCTCTGGTCCCTACAGTGATATGTGCTTGATGGAGCCTCTGATTTCTGCAGGTGCAACATGGGCAGATCTATTGAGCCAGCTGAGAACATGTTGTAAGCACAGTGCCCGTATTTCTATTAGATCTTTGGCCCAGGTAAGGTCACATCCCCATACCTGCACGTGCAAGACGAATTATGGCTCATGTCACTTACTACAGCAGCTCAGGGGTGAGTGAAAACGCAAACAATGTGTAATGTATGAAAGCTTTTAAGATTGGATGGGAAATATCAGCCGGCATTAAAGTGATTGGGTAATTTAAACATTGTGTGTAAGGTGACTGGGAACATAACCTTGTGATGGGCGTCACTCGGACACCCAGAGGGGATGAAGGGTCGGGAAGGATCTGTGGGCGGATGTTACCTGCTCACTCACCATACACATAATGTTCAAACTATCCAATCACGTCAAAGTTGGTTGATAATTACCAACCAGTCTCATACCCTGAAGTATATCACACTTTGTTTACGTTTCCGAATGCTACTCGAACACTGTCTTAAAAGACGCCAGAGCCAAACTTTGTATTTCTTGTTAAGAGTGAATGAAAAGGTGACAGTTACATGTGCTGGAGGCCTAGTGTATACCCTGTACATGGGCGCTGTGCTCAACTCGCTGCTAGGCTTAATGGATCCACCGTGATACACAATGAAACATGCTTGGTAGAGCCTCCGGTCCCTGCAGAGACACTTGCTTGAGGAGCTTGTGATTTCCAACTGTGGTACATGTTATCCTGGCTGCCAGATGTTGCCAACTTAGGTATGGGGGAAGTAGGTCGATCCGCATCTTCATCCCTTTCACAAATTGGAGTGAGTGTGACCAGCTGCAGGTGGGGCGAGACGGGTGACATCCAGCTGCTGCAGGTGGGGCGAGACGGGTGACATCCAGCTTATGAGAGAAGCGAAGTGACATGACCCCCAGCACCAGGAGCAGAAGCGTCGGGGTACCTGGAGAACACTCACCAGAGAAGTGTGAATAGAATAACTTCTAAGATTTATTTTTTTTATTGATACAATCACATTCGAGTTTGAATGAATTTTCTCTTTTCTTTTTCTCCCTCTCCACTAAAGAAGAATGTCATTATTCGTGTCCGGGGTTGGAAATTCCCTTGACGTGCATAACAAAACTGTCCATTGACGTAAGATATTTGTACCACACAGACAGTCCGTAAGTGTGAGAGCAGGAACTGTCCTCTTTAATGTCGAAGTCGCTTGAATTATTACATGTCAGTCATATACCTGTGCCTTTCAAATACTCGGTGTGTGTGTGTGTGTGTGTGTGTGTGTGTGTGTGTACGTACGTACGTACGTACGTACGTATGTACGTACGTACACAATGAAAGACAAAAGCCGTGTCGTGAAATTTGGTGAAAACATATGCCGAAGGGCTAAACTTTTGGTGCGCTCTGCCTTATGGTAGGGGGCTCTCATAATGTTTCACGAGTTATATTTAATCTTCGGACAAAACCGCGACACGACTTTTGTCTTTGATTGTACGTAGGAGCTCAGTTTGAACCACTAGATTCTGTCTCCATCCCTCCCCGTGTCCCACACACACACACGTGTAAACACAAAAAGCGTGGCGAGTTGTCCGGACACCACCACGTAGAACTGCTTCCATGTGCCCCGCTCATCGTGTAGTTAAGTCCCTCAGGTGCCAGCACATCTACCACCACCTCGACGGTCAGGTAAACAACACAGCGTTCTTCATGATCCAGTCTGGAGTTAAGTTGTTTGTTTTCGTCAGATATATTACTGGACTCGCGTATGACTGCGATGTGGTCTTGTGAGTGTTCGGGTGTGGCATTTTTTTTAACATACAGGTAGATGGGACTTTTATTTTATAGCCTATACCTGGTTCGCACTCCATATAGGGGTGATGTGGTTCGAAGCTCGAGTGCTGGGCTTCGAGGTTCAGGGTGATGGGGTTGGAGGTTCAGGGTGTTGGGGTTCGAGGCTTTGGGTGATGGGGTTCAAGGTTCAGAGTGATGGGGTTCTAGGCTTAGGGTGATGGGGTTGGAGGTTCGGGGTGTTGGGTTCGAGGCTTAGGGTGATGGGGTTCGAGGTTCAGAGTGTTGGAGTTCGATAGTGAGTAATCAGACTTCATCTGGCTCTCCCACGTTCCCTCTGACAGAAAAAAAAGAGACAAAATATATCAGAAATACTCCTCATCCAGAGATTGGTAGATTAGCTTTTATCAATCAGTAAGAGCCGACGCTGCCTGAACAATGCCCAATCAGTCACCAGAATTGACGGGCAGTTTCTGAGTAGACATACCTGGGACGTGTGACCCTGGCCTGTGTGGGGTCCCCGGTACGAGGGATGCAACACCAGAGAACAGAACACCACTTACTGACAACACACTCCAGCAACACGAACTTAACACGTAGTTGAGGCTCTTGAGGAATTTGGGTTAATGAAGGACATTCTATAGACAGTTATGGGAGGGACATTGTTAACCCTTGATCGAGAGTTTAGACAATTTATAGACATTTTAGACAGTTTTGGTAAAGGATATTCTTACCTTGCACGAGTAATTTAGACGCTGTATCTCTGTAGGTCATTCTACAGAGTCCCGAAGGAAGGTCACAGACACGTTAGGTCAGTGTGATACAGTGAGTGAGGCGGCGGGTTGTGGAAGGACCTGTTCATGGTGACCTGCTGGCTGGGGTCTGACGGGGCTACTGGTTGGGGTACACGTAGGAGGAGGACCCACAACAACTGACAACACCACCACTCCACCACCACTCCACTACCACTCCACTACCACCACCACCAGACCACACTACAAACTATATCGCCATCACCTCACTACACCAACCATACTGTTACCACCACAACTACTGTTACTACCACTACTATTAACATCATCACCACTACTAGTACCACCACCATTACCATTACCACCACTATTACCACCACCACCACTATTACCACCACCACCACCACCCTACCACCACCTCTACCACCACCTCTACCACCACCACCACCTCTACCACCACCACCTCTACCACCACCACCACTATTACCACCATCACCACCACCTCTACCACCACCACCATCACTACCATTACCACCACCAACCTCTTCGGCAAATGGAATCGAACAATACCATTATGAGATTAAACGTTACGCTTGAAAGCATCTTGAGCAAGAAAACACACACACACACTCTCCTCTCTCTCTCTCTCTCTCTCTCTCTCTCTCTCGGCGTGGAGAGTGTTCAATAATAGGTCTCTCATATCTTTGCCAAAAGGTGACCCCCAGCCAGTATCACGCCACGATTGATTTACAGACGATAATCTCTCTCTCTCTCTCTCTCTCTCTCTCTCTCTCTCTCTCTCTCTCTCTCTCTCTCGGCGCCTTCATCATCCTGGCCTATAGCGATTAGGGATAGCGACGAGGTTGTTTATTGCCTAGGTGGTTTGTTGTCAGTTACAGGTGTTGTTCGTGTGGTTGTTGGAGGTGATGTGGTATGGGAGGTGTGGGAAAGGGGGGGGTAGGGTTGTGGTAGGGATAATGATGGTGAGATGTGACTAGTGGTGGCAGTGTGGTGTGACAAGTGGTTGTGGTGTGGTAGGGAGGGAGGGAAGGGTTGTAATATGACAGGAAGGGTGGGGTTGTGGTGGTGTGACAAGTGGTGTGATGTGGTGTGGTGATGTATGGTGTGGTGTGGTAGGGAGGGAGGGAAGGGGTTGCACGCTGTGTGGTACAACTTTAAGCGTGACATTTTGCGCTGCTGGATAATACATAGGTGATGCATTTTCATTTTGCAATTGCAGATGCAGGTGAAGTCTTTCCCCGCTTGGTGTGGCCACTTTAGTGTCCTGTAATTGCTGTAATCTTCTCTCCTGTAGCTGTATTTTACTGTATTTATTACC